ACTAAGGTTTTTATTTTTCAGTCATGTAACATGAACTAAGCTGAGTCATGTTAGGACTGCTCTCATGAAGTGTAACATAGATGATGCATAGCTAATTCACCAACTTAGAATGGAATAGACAGAGAGTTAACAAGATATGCAAGATCAACATAATTGAATTAATGATAATGGTTGTCATATGTATAGATAAACCAGAAAATTGTTATTCAAGTTCAAAAAAATTAAATTTTTTTAGCATGCAAATCAATTAATTCAGCATACCCTGTATCCCAAACTTAAAAGGCAGTTGTGTCCTCACAACAAATGGTAGTAATCATTTTTAACAACAGAGAACACAATATTGAAGAGAATAATATACATGTTGGGGAGGATAAACAACTATAGACAAATGTAGAAAAGATAAAACCTGGGAGACCATTAATATGGTGCTCCTAAGTGTGTGTGGCTGAGGTTTTTCACATGTCTACCTGCCTTTGGAGCCATAATTGCTGCTGAAATAGATAACTAGAGAATGAGTGAAATGAAGATTGAATGTGAATACGGAAAAAGAACCCAAAGAGTGTAGCAGGTAAGTGTCAAAGCGATAGAAAAAAGTGCAACAACAAAACACACTCAGTTGTGTTTCAGTTAGGCAATAGAGAACAGCAGTAATAAGGCACAAACTCAAGTAACAATTCAGACTATATACCCATCCAAAATTACACAACCAACCAATACCCAGCAAAATTATGACATGAACTCGCTACTTTCAACCACAAAATTCCTTGTTTTTTTTAGACACCTGCTTGTTTGACTCATCTCAACATAGACCACACAAAGAAACTAAAACTGCAGTTCACATATGTGACAGGGGGTTCGCTCACTCAGATTTATTTTTTTTATTATTTTTTTTATGGGTGTTTGATTATTAGTGGTCTTGCAAAATAAAAAATAAATAATTCAGCACCTGGATATAGAACCACAATATACCCTGTTTTTTTTATTTGTTTGCAACTAGGTTAATGAGCATCAAATGAATATTCATCAATCTCAAATCAAGAACTACACACTTTATAAAAATTGAAATATCTCAATGTTCATGAAACCAAACTTAAGAATCAACAAAGTCAGTGTGTGTGGTTGTGGTTGGAATTTATACAAGGTGGTTTGAATCTCCTATACAAAGGAAAGAAAAATAAAATAAAAATGGAAAGAAAAGAAGAAAAAGAAAAATGGAAGATCAGTGAAACAATCTAAAGCAAGAGATTGATAGGGTTTTGGAAGTACTAAACCTAAATTCGAATCAGACCACACCAACAGTGATGAAAGACGCTCAACAAGGTCGAGGCCTTGATGATGAAGTGGTGCTCTCCTTTTCGGCGGTAAAGAGTAATGAGAAATGAGCATTTTGTGGGAGTGAGAGATCAGAATAAAAATGGGAAAGGAAAAAAAATTTGACCGACGAAAATGGGTATAAGAAACGAAGTCTCAAGGGTTAGTGAGATAAAGATGTGCAGTGTAGATAGAGAAAAGGAAAAGTAATCTTTTTCTTGGTGGAGTAAATGAGATGAGACTGATGCAGAGAAGTCACATCAATGCTATAGAAAACTTTTTAAAAGCCACTGGAGTATCTCAGAGGTGCAATAATGGTAGAATTTCACCATTAAAAATTGGCTCTGCTGTGCATAAAGCACAACTTTGATCACAGATTTCTTCTTTCTTTTCTCTTTTTATTTTTTTTACATTTGTGCCAATAAGAAGAAGCTGATATGTGCAGAGAAGGATTGGGGATGAAGCAAAGAGGGGATAGAGAAAAAAAATAATCTGACCAATGTCAGATTTGAAAATCAAGATAATAAGAAAGTGTTGAGCTTAACATATTTGGGCTAGAATATTATTAAATCATACTTGGCCCAATTACTTTCATACACTTTATATTACTCTCTTTTTTTATACTGGCCGAGTTAACTTGTAGCAGCCCATGGCACAAGTACTTCTCCTCATCTAAATAAAAAAAAATTATTATTTGGGCTATCAAGTTTTTAAATACCCTATTCAGCTGAATGGATTACACTCGGTGTACTAAACTCAAACCAGTCACATTTTTATTTTTTTTATTTTTTTAACTTACGTGTATACATGCCCACCAATATATATACTCAGTTAAGCTCTCATTCCTCTTTTTTTTTTTTTATTACATTGGGCTTACTATTCTCATATTCAACCCATGCATTAATTTTTTATATACCACTCGTACGCTTATTCACCCAACTAAAGCAACCCAATTACATTGCTGGACAGTAACCTAACATATGTAGGAAAATTTAATCACAACCCACAACTGTACCACAAAACATTTCAAGTTTAAGAATTAACACACTACTTTCACACCTCAAATACCTCTCATATGTCCATAGACCAGCCTGCTTTAATATAAGGGTTAGCCCAATAGTTTCACATAGCACCATAATCACACGGTTTCAACAATGTGTAACGGTTAAGCTATCAACGTGAGCTGATCACCATCATTATACAATCCAACTTTGATGTCTCGTTCCTATATCATCACACAATAAAGAATTGAACCTCAAACTCAATGTGTTTGTCTAAATCACATATCCAACTAATCCAATAAGTTGCGGATCAACTAACTCAGTCATACACAAATTCGAACTCATCTCTCCAATCCTCATTTATATATTCAACAGTCATGTGCTCAAATAGTCCACCTAATACACATTGGTTTCCTACTGAAACTGATAGCCTTGTTCTTTAAACCTCATTTGCTGACAACTAGCAGATAAGCAATTTAAGTCTCAAAAAAATTAATACCTAGTACTTCCTATCACTGTGCTACCCCAAACTCACGAGGTTGCTCATTCTCATAAGGTTCACTTGGCAGAACAATACCACTTTAATTCAGTATTCTCAGTCAACCCTTTTTATCAGCTCAAGTTTCGTGTTTTTTTTTAACATACAAGGACAGCAACAACCCTTGGTTTTAAAAGAACTCCTATGTATTATCTAAAAAAAAAATCGAAACTCACTAGTGACAAGCTAAAACCTATGTAGAAAAAAAAAAAAAAATTAAACACGTGAGCAGTTACTAATACTAAACTAACCTAAGCTCTAATAGCAACAAGTACACTAACTAACTAATCAACTAAACTCTTTTTTAGTTGGGTAGTAATTTTTCGAAAGAAAGAGTTATCGTTCTCAGGGAACGGTTTGTTTAGTTTTCTTTTTTATTTTCATCCAGCATCTAGTAAAGAAACAAAATTCTTTTCTTTATCCTCATGCCTGCTCCAGCAACGTTTTAACCATCTAAACTTGATTGGAAATAATTTGATTCTTATCTTCAAATTTAGAATAATTTTCCCTGTATCTAACCATTTGATTATTTTCTTTTGCATTATTTCCTTCATGGTTAGACTAAGTCTTCTCAGTTGATATAAGAAGCTGTAGCTCAGATTTTTCTCAAGAAATTTTAATGGTTCAAATTTCTTGTCTCCAAAGAATTTGGGTGGTGGGGACACAAAGGCTGACACAAGTTCACTTTCATTTTGCTTTTCCTCCACATGTTTGAGGCTGCCCATTTCTAAATTGCTAATTTCACTATTTAAAAGCAAGTTGTGAGCAACCAAATGATCATAAAATGAAATAGCAGAATAGTCATTAAAAGTCATCTTTTCCTCATTAACTCTCATGGTCAATTTTCCTTTTTCAACATCAATTATAGCATCCTCTTTAACTAAGAATGGCCTATCCAATATAATGGGCACATCCTTGTCAGCTTCAAAATCAACTATCATGAAATCTGTTGGAAAAATAAACCTATAAACTTTCACTAATTTGTTCTCTATTTTTCCATCAGGGACAATATTCGTTTCTTCTATTGCACATGAAATTAAAGAAGAACCTGGATATTTCAGCTTGGATGAAAAATTGTTGGAGAGATAGTGCTCTTGTTGCTGCTCTTGGAGTCTCTGAGGAAATGAGATCTGTATTGCCCTTGATATAGGTTGATGAACTTCAATGTTTTGCATTAGCTTGTCTGATTCGTTTGATTTCAATGCTGCCCACACTGGTTCAGTTGTAGTTTCCTTCTCATCATCTTTGTCTTGAGGTGAGGATTGAGTGGTTGATGGTTGGGCTGTAACAATGTTATCCACTTGCTGCCCATTCCTCAAGTGGAGGGCTTTGCACACTTCTTTTCCATCCCTTTTAGGTATTTCTGTGTCACTTGGTAGTGTCTCCAAAGGTCTACAACTAAGGGCAGAAGCAATCTGCCCCATTTGTATCTCAAGGCTCTTCAAGATAGCTCCATGACTTTGAAGCATAACTTCATGGTTTTCTAGCATTTGATTCATCCACTGCTCATTTGGAGGTTGAGCTTCTGCAACATGTTGTTCTAGCTGTTCAACAAAAGGAGGAAACATAAAACAAGGTGAAAAAGGCTCTTCTGCTTCAAATGACTGATGCCATCCATGATAAGGCTGCTGGTATTGGTAATTTTGGCCTTGATTTTGGGCAAAATTACATTCTTGGTTCTGCCATCCTTGCTGATCAAATTGGTTGTGGTTGATATAATTGTAGTTGAAGTCTCCCACATAAAGAACATATGCTGGGTTGCTGGGGCATTCTTCAAAGGCATGAGCACCATAGCAAAGTGAGCATATAGGTGCTATAGCAACTATTGGAGTAGGTGCTGGTTGCTTGGATTCTTCCATAACCATGACCAAATCCTTCATTGTGTTATGCAAAGCTGCGAGTTGAGCTGCCAATGCCATTGTGATCCCCCTGTAAAGTGTTTAACAACCAAACTTTTTTTTTTTTTTAAGATTTGGCAGAATTCTAAGTGTATCAATTTGTTTTCACAGTAAAAATTATTGATCTGCAAAATCTACAAGGAAAATGTAAGTTCAAGAAAAATTAAAAATGAAAATGAAAGAAAACCAATTCAAGAACTAAAAGACAGAATTTTCAAAAAGAAACTAAATCAAACACCGTTCCCCGGCAACAACGCCATTTTGTTGGGTAGTAATTTTTCGAAAGAAAGAGTTATCGTTCTCAGGGAACGGTTTGTTTAGTTTTCTTTTTTAATTCCTATTTCTAATTTCTTGAATTTAAGTAATCAATCTTTTAAAACTAAGAAAAGACTAAACGAAGCAAGGTATTTATCAGACTTGTATTAAACAAAATTAACAGAGGAATATCTAATCACAAATGTAACAATTATACGGTACTGGAATTCTTGAATCATGGATGAAGGAAAAATTTTGCATTCCTGCGTTTTATAACTGCTACGGCACTTTAAGATCAGATTTGAACTACTATGGCTATTTTAGCTGAAACTTCCCAGTTCCAGTTTTAATCTTTAGAAGGATCTTTTCCCAAAGTCTTCTAAATCTTCAAAAATTATATCAAAGACCTTCTTGGGTTATCCCTAACCTCAAGGGTTCAATTAACAAGGGTCATAACCTGATTTCCCAATCACAATTATGCAAAATATATTCAAGATCCATTCCCATGGTGTTCTTGAACTTAAAATCAAAATCTTGCTAATCAAATGAAACTAAAGCAAACCATCACAGTATTCAGAAAAATAAAAGATCACCCAATCATCGTGAATCCCAGAAAACGAAACTTAGAAATTCATATTAACAAATGAAAAGCTTAGAAAAGGAAAATGAAGAACCAAAGCTTGCATGTAGCTGAGTCTTGGATCCCTCCAAGAAAGAAGTTTCACGCTTGCTCTTGATGTGAGAATTTGAAGAACAAAGACTCGAACTTAACAAAAAGTAAAGAGCAGAAAAGAAATTCTGGAATTGAAAACTAAAACTTTACAGGAGAGTGCTTAGTCTATATCTCTGTATCTAAGACTCCTATTTAAAACTAAAAATAACCATTGATCCAAAGTTTCATTGCTGTTCATCTATGCCTGTCCTCATCCAACGGTCCAGCTCTCTTTTTTTCTTCACTTCCAAAAAGTAACTCATATGGCTCTCTAACTGCAGTAAAAATAGTAAAAGAGGATAGTAAGTCATCAAATTATCTTTTTCTCTCTCTTTTACCTTATTGGGCTGATTGGTACTCATTTGACCCATTACTTTGCACTTATAACTAGTCTTTAGCTCAAATGTTGTAAAAACAAAGCCATTAAAATAATCATAATTTATAGCTAACACAAAGCTAAATGCTTTTGTTCTCTTTTGTTATTACAGCTTTTTGAGACCGCTTTTCTAGTATTCAAAATTGATGAAGAAGAGCAACAAAAAGCCATTGCCGAAGTGTATGAGAAACTGAATCTGCTTGAAAATGGAATGATAACCTTTTTTGCAGATGGAAAATTGGCAATCTTGGTGTAAACAAAAACAATGCTGGAATCCTAGACATTGTCTTTTGTTCGTTATTTGGACCTTACAAGGTTCAGGAAGAAGTTCTTGGTTTAAAGTTGATAGTTCCATTGAAGTTTCCTGTGTTATTTCCTTGGCTAATGGCTATTGTTGAGATCCCAGCGGTGAAAAAGGTAACTCTTCCACATGATAAAGCAGTGGGAATTCTTCATCACATTAGGAAGTCTGCCCTAAAATCTTCTACCGCAGGTTGATATATTTCCCCATTCCCCAGTTAAATGGACTATCTTATGCTTCTTAAGGCTTGAACATATTTCCAATAATACTAAGGCTCCACCGTTATCTTAAATTTGTATATGTATTTGGTTTGGCACTTTCGCTTGTTTCATCTAATTAGTATATGGGAAAAGTATCTCTGCTTTTGTTGCAACATTTTTTTTCCGTCATTCACGTAAATGTGAGTGTCTCAGTACAATAAGAAGAGAAAGAAAAAGTTAGCGGAATATTACGAGACCAACTCACTTTTATAAGAGAAAGTTTAAATTATGTTACCATTGACACTAATGGTACAATTATCCCTCATTTATGTTTTTGTAACCACCACAATAATGGAGCATCAACACCCCATTCATGATTGTATTCCTACATATACATAATGCTTGTATTGGAAAATGTTTGCTAAATGAGATTTAGAATTCTATGTCGCGTGATTGACTAATTAAAATTAAAACTATCATTGTACCCTTGTTTTTAAACAATTTAAAAACATTAACCTTTTATCAAAACTGTACATCAATATGCTCCTATTCATTCGTTGATTGGGACTAGGTACTCGAGTCCAATAACCTTGCACTCGAGCAACTATTGCTTGACTCATGTACTCGAGTACATCAAAATGCAGAAATAAATGAAGGAAAAAAATATAGAAGCATAGTTGTGCATAGCTGATCTTCCTAGTTTTCAAACGAAAGGGGCAGCACCGTTATGATATGCTTAACGTAAAAAAAGTTATTAAAAAAATATAGTTACGACCTTTGCCAGAGAAACAGGGGAAGCTTTACGGACAACAATGGGTACATCTGAGCACTCTTTCATTGTTTTTTACTTACAAACTCCACATGGCTATTGTTGAAATCCTAGCGGTTAAAAAGGTAACTCTTCCACATGATAAAGCACTGGGAATTCTTCATCATATTAGGAGGTCTGCCTTAAAATCTTCTACCACAGCTTGATATATGTTGCGAATTTGGCAAGTATACCGTTCGTTTCAAGTAATAAAGTGATAAGTAAAGATCGTTCCCTCGAGGATTAATGCACCAAATATTAATTTAACTATTCCCCTTAAGTTGGAAAAGAAAATTTGTTTGTCATGTGAAAGTGATTGATTGTTGTAATTTTAAAAATAGGATTTAAAAAAATAATATTTAAAAACATGCAAGAGTATCAAGAATGACAAGAAATTATGAGATTGATTAAAAATTGTAAAAAGACTGTAGCCAGGATGCACTTCACCTCCGATCCTCCCTTATATTCCTATATTGTATTTTATAATTAATTAATTCGTTTGCTCAAACAATTTATTATTTCCCTATAAAATAGTTGAACCCTAATGTCTTAGTGATTTCAACCCTTTAACCCAATTAGAATTCTAGTGTCCTAGTAATCCCTCTTGAATCAAGCATTAAGCAAATGAATTATAAGTCTGTAATCTATGTAAGCCTATGTCTAGGTCATGCACAAATTGTTATTCTACCCTTGTCCAGATTAAAACCCCAATATGTTTATTGTGAGTCCTAACCCTCAAAGCCCTATAATTTAGAGTGATAAGTTCTAAACAGAGTATGGAAGAATTAACACAGGTAGAATAAAACAAACTAACTAATTAACTTATAAAAACAATATAGAAATTATAAAGGATTCACATTGGGTCTGTGATCCTAACTACAAAAACAAACTAGCCAGACATAGCTGGCTTAAACAAATTAAAATAAGAAAAATTGTTCATGAAAGAAAAAGAAAAGAAGAAGAAAAAGAAGAAGGATCAATGGTCTTCAGTCTTCAACTCTGTCGGAATCCTGATCTCCAGCGTGAGCCTCCAAGAATTCTCTCAATTCTCTGAATCTCACAATTCTCTCCAGCCAAAGATTGTTTGCCTCTAGGGTCTGAGTCTCTGTTTATAGAGATTTTGTCTTGCTCAGAAATCTTGATCAAATTTTCATTGTATATCTTGGGTCCAATCTTTCCCGATATAGTCTGATTCAAATCTTGATCATATCTCTTGATTTCAATCTCCTTTGATTCAAATCTTGTCCTTTTCTCTGCTGCTCAATTGGGCCTCTTTCTTGTACTTTTTCCTACAAAAATATAAGAAAATAAGTGACAAGATATTTGATTGAGATTTATCAATTTAATAAAAATTCTAGCCCTTTTTATCCAAGATTTATCAAGATTCTTTCTCTTTTTGGCTTAAAATCATATATATGCTGGAGGCATATCAAACAATTCCCAGATTTGAACGTTGCTGTCCTTAGCAATGTACTAGATCAAAGTAGAAACAATGATGAATTATGTGGAGAGAAAACATGGAATACAAATATCTTAAGAGATCAGACTACTATGCATGTATAACTTCATTGTTGAAAAACTCTAAACAATGTTTTTCAGTTTTATCAAGAAATTCAGATCATAACTTGAGTGTTCCTTACTGGATAAATATGTAACTCTCATCACTCTAGTGTTTGAAGGTTTCACACTCATTCCATTAGTGTAGTAGTAATTCCATAGGCTTGATCATATTCTCAAATTCCTAAGATTGAGGAACTCATTTGACATGCATACACTGATCAAAAGGTATTTGATAGGTTATAACTTGGCCTGGTTTGTGGGTAAGAATCTTTGGAAAGAGGCTGATTAATTTGAGAGGCTGAAATACTGAGATTTTTGACAATATTTTCTTCTCAGTCTTTTAATTCTGCAACTTTTCATCATTTCGGTATTCTTATTCCATTTTTTACTACCTTTTTCTTTTCTTTCCTTGTTTTGCAGATGTTTTCTTTCTTTTCTCTTTTGAACTGCATTTTTGCAGACCATTTTTTTCTTTTTCTTTTTTCAACTTACTTAACTTTTTCCTTGAGAATTACCTTGATTTTTTCTTTGGTCAGCAATTCAATCTCTTTCAAGGTGTGTCAATGGGAATATGTTAAGTAATTTTCATCAGGTTTTTGAATAAATTGGTCTAAGGCTCAAAAGGGCTTAACAATAGAAAATTTCTTCTAGGTAGGCTATTTGACTCTAAGTTAACAAGAATAAACATGCCTTTATCATATCAGTAATACATGCAAGCTAGAGAAACAAATCAAGTTCTAGAAGACTACTACAGTGAGGCCTCTCTGAAAAAAAAATTATGTTTAGGTTCAATCCTCACAGATATGAAT